AAGGACGCAGTATTTCCGGAACATTTTCAAAAATTAAGTTGAAAAAGTTCATTTTTGTAAAAAAGTTACTATTTTAAATCCCCCCAGTGAACAGAATAAGTGTTAGATTTTCAAAAAAAATTATATCAAATGAAAGGGAAATATCTAAGGTTTCAATACAAGAAATAACAAANGTATAATTTGTATTTTAAACAACTTGTAAACAAACAAATAATTTATCTGTCATAACAAATATGCTGTTCAATACAATTTATTATTATTTATATATATGCCAACTCATCTATTGTCAACTATATTATCTAATATAATTATCATGTAATGTATACTTTGAAACAATAAATAATAATCATAAATAACACAAACGGCAATATCCCTGGATATGGGGGTACCTTTTTAGTACTATAAAAAGCACTGATATCCATTGAAAAACACAGAGTGAGAGCTACTGACACAGAGCCACGGCTACGGCTAAGGCCAGAGCCACGGCTAAGCAGAGAGCTACTGCTAGAGTCACAACTCCAGTAAGCTAGTTCTTTCCTGCGAACTACGCTTACTATTACATTTTGATCACGGCCCCGTGCTGCCGTTTGAGTTATTTTATTTTTTGTTTACTTTATTTGTGTTTAAAACTTATTTTGGTCTATAAAGACATTATTACCATAAATAAATAATATTGAGTAAAAATTGGCATTTCTGGTAAATACTTCATTTATCTTCTTGGACATTATAAAATACGAAGGTAAGTCAATTTATATTATTCCATTTATTTAAAATTAATAATCTGAGTAAAGAACGATAAAGCAATAGATCTATAATCTCCTTTTAATATCAAGAGCTATTTTGCTAGTTTGTTCACACCTGCTACATATACACATTACAGGGTCTCGAGGGTCGGATTACCGCCCCGTGCCTAAAAAGAGTTTAAAAACCTAATGTGTATCTGATTATATTAATAGACACTTCGACTGGGTATTCGAGGGTCGGATTACCGCCCCGTTACCTCAGTGTCCATTAAAGGTGTTTACAAGTTTATTAGCTCATATTCCTCAAGAAAGAGGACATGCTTTTATTTCTTCATATCTACTTGTCTTTATTGTTCTAAACCCTCGAACCATACGACCCCGATAGAACCACAACATCAGGTTCTCACTAAGCCCAAATATTTATCTTTCATTATTTATATTTTACCAACACTGCATTATATATATTTTTGAATTATAACAATAAGTTAGAGCCGACCACAAAGTATGATGATGATTTATATTTATATTTATTATATATTTTATTTATATTTTATTTCATTGGCCGACCCCAAGTAGTCGGGATTATGGCGAGGAGAAGAAGACGAAGAAGACTTCATTTTGTATTTTTTATTTACTTCCACAATATAAATGTATACATTTTATTATTAAAACTAATGACTATTTTATTTTTAAATATAAATATAAATATTATTTATGGCTTGAGTTAATCTGAAATTTGTGCCACGTATTTTTATACATAAGCGTATTTATGTTCATTGTAATGCATTGATAAATATCGAATATAGTCATCGGTGAATATCCCGAAGCAAGCTTGTTTATAGCTTCGATTTTGAGAAGGTTATTGTTTCATTATCACGTAATTTATTACTTATTTTTTTACGTTTTTCAAGCAATAGTTATTATTTCGAGGTTGTAATAATTCAGTTAACTTATTTATTATTTGTAAACCTATTATTTATGTCAGGTTTTTCATATATTACTTTTTTGATAAACAGGGCTTAAAAATACCTTCTCAGCTTCGCATCGAAACTAAAATACAAAGGGCATTATAATTTCTATACAAATTTTGAATGTTTCACCTATTTATATCAGTGGTATGACCAGAAGAATTAAGAGAGCTTCAGAACCCCCTTCCTGAAATTTTAGAAAAGTTTTAAAATTATTAGTATGCTTTAAAAAAGTTGATGATAAAATCCTTGTTTTTGTTGTACTGATTTTAAAGTTCTACCGTTATTTTGTTAGTCGATCTTATTTTATCATTCACAGTTAAAATTTAGCAATTATACAAGGGCATAAATAATACTTGAGAAATATTTAAATTCATACATCTCTAAAATTTAAAAAAATTTAAAAATTTGCAGAAAAATAAAAAAAAGGAATTTATTATATTAATTTAAAATAAATTAAGATTGCTCAAAATCACATCATATAATGAATAGTAACACATCAATACTTGACACGAATTATTAAGGGTTCAAGACTCGGTCATGGACATTTTATTTCCTAACTAATGATTTATCTAGGAATATTTAAGGCTACGAAACCTCTTCTTTGGAGGAGGCCACAACAGCCCTTAATGGAGATAAAAGTGAAAAAATTACACGAACATAAGATATTTAAACATTTTTTCTTAATTGAATCATTGGTTCTTCATTAAATATTTTTTATATAAATATAAACTATAATATTACTTTTTGTCAATTTCATATTATTAGTCAATTATTCCTCGTAAACTAGTATTAAATTAGTCCCTAACACCATGATATCTTGGATCCATACAGCCATGTACTAGAGTTCCTAAATTAAATTATTCATGCCGTCACGGCAGCATAAGTACTTTTTGATGCAGAGTACCGTCAAATGAGAGTGTAATTACCTTCGTACGGAAAACATCATTTTTTTTTTTTGAAATCCTCGCTAAAAGATTTATAGCCCGAGTAAGGGACAAGTCTAGAGTGATTTATTTATCGTTGTAAAATCCAAATCTATTTTTTTTCATCTTATCTATTATTGATGCTACGCCTATAAACTCTCTTATAGGTTCGTTAACTAAATTAAAACTATATACAAAAATTATTCCCTTAAGAATTTTTAGACCCTTTAAAAAATAAAGTTTGGTGTAATTATTAGCTGTACATTACATGATTATTACTTATTTTCATATTTTATACGCAAAATTTCAATGGTAAAATGTTAACAAATGAAGTTGATAGTAAGTTACCAAAATTACCAGAACATGTTTAGAAATATGAATTACAAAAATAAATGCATACAATCAAATTAAATTTTATATTTAAAAATATTTAAATGCGTATTAATGCTGAAACCAGCAATCTTAGCTTTAAGGAAGGTGGTACATGAAATGCTGTTTACCTTGGATGTGACTGTGTCAACTCTAAGATAAACAGATTTTACCATTACAGTTATAATTCAATGTTCGCAGAACTAAACAGTCTGCTATTGGCAATTGGACGTTCGTTGCATTGCTTTTTAACTTATCTGACGATACAACTTCATATTAATATTTTAAAAGAATTTAAAATCAAACAGTCGTTAAAAATTGTTGTTCTAAAATAATATTATAAGTACTATTGTTGCTGTATACTCATTTAACTGAAGAAATAAAGTGAGTTTAATTTTCACTTAAAAAAATGAATAGACAAACTAGTTAATTTTGTATGAGTAAAGGCCTAAACATTAAGAAAAATCGTTAAAAACTATATTATAAATATAAATAATTTGCATCACTTACTATGACAAATTTTGTAATACACATTTATATTAAAGTGAAATCGATATCTTTGATAATATTATTTTTTGTATAAAAATGACATGTTTAAACAATTATTAACTTTTATTCGTGTAAATAAATACATATACATATGTATAATTGTTCATTAAATATTAATAAAAGAAAATATTTAACCATGTTTTTCTAAGAAATAAGGGTTAGGCTGACGTATTCTATTGATTAATTTTGATTATCTTTAGCTTCGATGCGAAGCTGAGAAGGTTTTAGTTTTACTATGATATTGTTATTTTTTTTTTGTGTCTGTTACCACTTTTTCTCAGATCTCACCGAACCGATTTCTTTTAACGATACGCCAAAAGATCACAAATCGTATCTAGTCGAAGACATTACTCTCAAAAATTGAAAACATTTCCCTCGTTCCCCGTAAATGGGAGAAATCTCCAAAAAAATTAAAACTGCCATAACTTTTTTAAAAATAACCAAATCAATATAATTTTTTATATAAATGCATGATATCATTACCTTTCATTTGGTATATATTTTTTTTATATCTGACCCTTTACCTGCCCATAGGGGGGGGATTTAAAATGACAACTTTTTCACAAAAAATTAATTTTTTCAACTTGACTTTTGAAAATGTTCCGGAAAGTCTGACACTTTTATATATATCTTAAATTAAAAATAATGTAATGTACTTTATTATAGGAAAAACAATTTTGGACTTTATTTTGTCTTCATGGTGAAAATGGCTACCGAATCTATAACTTATTGAAAAGTTTATGGATCAGTACAATTTTTTTATGTGAAATAATATTTATATCCCTCTTTCATTTGACATACTTAATCTTAATCAAGGTATAAATAAGGAAATAGGAGATCATATAGCTTTTGGAATAATCCACCAATTTTTTAAAATTAAACACCATCTAAATATTTGCATCGAAGCATTTTATTGATAGTGATTTTAATCACTGTCAGATATCATTATACTTGACCCAAATATGCCACGTCACCACTTTGCCGCGACCCCCCTGTGCTGGGTTTTTAAACACAATGTGAATTTTTTTGTGAAATTCTTTAAATTTGTTTTCAGATGATCATTTTAGTATAAATTGTTTTTTGTTAAATATAGTTAATATACGTGTACATATACGTAAAAAATAAAGCAGTAACTCGGTTATCAGGAGATTAAAAATAAATTGTACTTTCTAGTTAAACTAAATATACTTTATAAAACAGTAATATTAGCTTTAATGTGAAGCTAGGTAGTTATTAATGTTACTGCGATGTGTTTTTTTATGCCTGTTACCGTTTTCCTCAGCTCACACTGGACTAAATTTTTCAAACGTCAACAGATTACAAATCGTATCTAGTTGGAAGACATTACTTTTAAAAATTAAAAAAAAAAATTTCTCGTTTCCCGTAGATGAGGAAATATTTCCAAAATACATTTTTTAAAATAGGAAAATTTTGAAATTTTTCATCATGTTTGGTTGAGCTCACACTTATAAAATCAAACTTTTTATGATATGATAAATTTGAAAAGAGTGTTATAGTTATTATAATCTTATAGATTAAAATATAAAACTTTTAATATTTTGTCTGAAGTTGAAAATTATAAGGTGCCATAAAAATTAAAAAACAATACTTTAAACGTTTATAAAATATACAAATATAAAATATCATTAATTCATAGAAATACATTCAAATTANAGTTGGAAGACATTACTTTTAAAAATTAAAAAAAAAAATTTCTCGTTTCCCGTAGATGAGGAAATATTTCCAAAATACATTTTTTAAAATAGGAAAATTTTGAAATTTTTCATCATGTTTGGTTGAGCTCACACTTATAAAATCAAACTTTTTACTATGTATATAGTATAAAGAATTAATTAATTAAATATATTGTTGATCACAATTTTTGAACCAATATTTCGGAATTTATTGAAAATTTATTGCAACGGTTGTAGGTGAGACATGGGTATTGTTATTTTTATTAAAGGAGAGTGGATGTGTTACCCATTCACATTAATAACACAATGTTATCTGGCCTTAAAATTAACTTTTTGGAATACTTTTAAGACTTACAAATTGTATAAACTCATCAAACTGTGTTTTAGAAGTGTCATATTATATGAACAATTTTAAAAATAACCACGAAACACACTTACAAATTAAAAGAACTTAACAGCTTTAGAAATGTTTATTTTTATTTTAAAATTTGAAGATATTATGCCAAATCATATTTTCTAAGTTTTGTGAGAAGCAAAATAGTATGTTGTTGTTAAGTTTTTATCAATATACGGTATTCGGAATGTCAGGAAGTATTGGTAATAGTTCCTTCATAATTATAGATATAAAACTGATTTATACTTAATTTCTACATAAATGGAATGGCCTTTAATTTATTTTAAGTTATTCACATTTGTAACCTTAACAAAATTACAACTAGTACTATGTTTAATCCTATTATTATTATTTACCATGAAGGCACAAAAAAGTTTTTATTATATAGTAGAAAATTTATCTTGGCTATGTAATTTATTTTTCCATATTAGGAAATAACTACTATATAAAAGCCAAACATTTTTATTTGATATTAACTCTTAGGAAAAAATTGTAATAATGTAAAAGATTTTATTAGTTCTATATTTTATGTTTATTTTAAATAATATTATTATTTTATTTTAACGCAAAAATTAATAATGTTTTTGAAAAGTATATTAAAAAAAGTATATAGTAAAAATATACATTGGCCGACTCCATATAGTTGGAATTAAGGCATGAAAAAAAAAGTTATTGAAAAGTATATTGTATTATTTTTTTTCAGTTTTTCCTGATAAGTTTGTAAATAAACGGAGGACAGGACCGTATTGACGAATTGTGCAGTCTTATTAATACTTTTTTCCTAGAAGCGTCAATGATAGTTAACACGGCACTGGTTTACATATAAGGTTTTTAGAAACAGATAATTTTTGTTAGAGTTTACATATAACTAAAAACCAATACAGTTTCAATAACATTAACTTACATTAACTCGTAATGTATAATAGTACTTACTATAACAATTATTTAATACATGCAAATATCGTTAGGATAATTTACTATTATTTTGATCAACTTGACAACTTAAATTTCTATTATAGCAAGTGAAAATCTTTGAAATAGGAAGAAGATGTAATTTTAATAAAAGTCCTAATCATTCTTTGTCTTAAATAAAGATAATATTATACTAGAGAATATTTAGTAAAATTGAAAATGTATCATTGAAACAGCAATTACTTCCTATTAAAGAGCTGTTTGTTTAAACTGGAAAAGTTCCTTTATTAAAAAGATACATTAAGTATAAAATATACTGGTAAAAAGTGCTGATATTATATGTATTGAATATTTTTCTAATGTTTTTCATTTGTACAATTTATAATAATGGACATTAAACATCAGACTGGTCTGTAATTATGAACATGATATAGGATTTGATTATTTTTCTAGATATTTTATACAGAAATAAGAATGTTTTAATGACTTGAATTTTTTTTATTTTAACTGTGCTACCACCGTATTATACATTTATCTGTTACTTTAGGAAAATATGAAATTAGAAAATCAATGTAATTCATAACGTAGGTAATACATGTAAATTTAATTTTATTAAAATTTGGAATATATTTATTCAAATTTATTTAAATTTTTTATAGAAAATAATACAAAAATCAGTTAAAAATATTACAGTGTAATTAACATATTGTTTTTTAATATGTAGGAAGATAAAATTATAGAAATATATCTTAGCGTTTTTAAGACCATACGTTGTCAATTTAGCAATATAAACTTTACTCAAGAGCAAATAAAATGTACCTACTAATATTTTATTCAATTTTTTCTAGGTGTAAAATGTGGATTGAGAATTCTTATAAAAGTACTAGTAAAAACATTTCAGAGTGTTTATTATATGAAAACCTTTACTAATCAATAATCGTACACCACTTACATAAAGTTAATGTAATTTTATTTATTTTATATTGTCTAATATAATTCATTGCTTCAGAATGAAAAGGTTCTAACCCAATTAAAAAAAAAATTTCAATTTATACATTAAAAATGTTATTTTCAATATATACAATAAAAATTTTTTTTTAAACCATAAAGAAGTTATTAAATTCATTATATAGCGAGTAAACTAAAATAAAAATTATACATAATTGTTTGATAAATTTTATTTTAAAAACGGTCTATTTAAAATTATTTATTTTGCATTAGAACCTTTTCATTTTCAAACGAAGAATTATTGAAGTAACAATATTTTTAAACTGCTAAAATGCGTAAATTTGAAATTAACTTTTACTTGTAAGTAAACAATCCCGGCAAAAGGGCCGACTTGGCACGGCGACTAAACTTGGTTTAATTAAATACTTACAGATTTTTTTAATTAATTTTTATGAACAAATCTTTTGTGTTCCTTAATAATATTTTTAAACATTTTCTAGTACTGTAAATTGATACAACTAAAATGATAATGGGTAATTATCATTAATCTGTCTCAAGTATAACCATTACCCCAAGTTGGTTCATTTGATCGTAGTATATGCTTCCCTAAATTATGATATTGAGTTAGGGTAAAATTCAGTGGCGCAACAAGAATAAAAATCCATAGGGTGCAAAAATTGTGTAAGGTTCATAAAACCCTAGGGGACTCTGCTTCAAACCTCTCAATCCACCAAATTAATATAAATAAATATATAACTGAACAAACAATTATGGTTGAACTGTGACATAATGTTGAAATGTCTACTACGTAATACGTAATATAAGACGTAATAATACGTAATGCAAGAAAAAATAAATAAATATAAAAAAATTGATAGTAAATTTTTATAAAAAAAATACTTCTTTAAAACTATAGGTGTTAAAATTCAGGAAAAATAGGGAAATCAAGTCTAGTAGTTGTGCCACTAGTCAAATTTATGTACTGTTGTTCATGCCATCAAAATTATAATCTTTTTCTTTATTGTAAATTATAGTTATAACACAACATAAGATATGCCAACATTTATTTAGAATTAAAAAACTGAATTAATTCATTAATAAAATTATTTTATAATTATTGAATAATTTAGGTGTATTTATGTTATATACGTATACAGAAACAATGGCGATCATGACAAATATAACTCAAAAAAGTATTGATTTTATTGTTGATATTCAAAAGACATTTAAAGACATAATTAAAAAAGAATTAAGAGATGGTTAGTAAAATTATTTATTTATAGTAAAAATCATAAGCTCGAATAGTTGAACTATTCTGAGTGTACTAAATTAAATAAGACAATAACATAAAAAATAATTTTTATATAATGACGAACTTTTGGAGAGATTATCAGTTTTTCGACGGAATTATTTCCTGTAGTCTTCTAGTACTTCCTACAAAATAAAGTACTCGGAAAATACCTTTTTAAAAAGTAATCTTTTGTAAATTCACTCTTGTAAATTAAGAAAAAATCGTATTCACATTTATTAAATAATAGACACTTATGACTTAAAAGTTATTTATTAAAACTATAGTTTTAATAAATAATTTGCATATAAGTTTGAATTTATTTGAATTAGCAACTGAAAAAGTTATGTGTATTTAATGAAAAAGTGCATTGAATTAACGAATTAAAATATCTTCTATGATTGTGTTCATTGGGATAATTCATTGATGTTAATGAACAAGTTCGTAATATTAATAAACGGGATTTATTAATAAAAAAAACAGAATAATAGGTTTAACGTACGGTGTTAATAGCATTGTTCATTAATGTAAAGATCCATTTCATCAATTCAATGTACGGGTCTCGTTATATCAATAAATCGTTCATTGATATCGTTACGGACAGATTATTAATCTTTTACTAACATTAATACTTCATGACTACATTAGTATTTGATTAGTACAATCATCTCTTCAGCCAAACTATGAGTATGCGTCCAACCGGTGTAAACAGACCTATTACATACCTATTTTAATTAATTAAAAATACGTCGATATCGGTCGACATTTTACCACTCTCGTGGCAACTTATTCATATTCGTTAACTTAATAATTAATTATTAATTATCGCTATTATTATTATCATTAACGGAGTTTTGTGTACGTTCGCCGATATCGACTCACCACCTCACTTGAATTACTAGCAAATATCTCTCCAGAATTACACATTACTATATTTATATAAGAAATAACACTTATTATCGTTGTTAATTGAGAGTTTATATTTTATTAGTCATGAAACCGCTAACAGCAAGACTAACTGTTAGGACTCTAGCGAGAAAGTACGTTGCAGTCTGGTGGAGGTGCCGTGTTTTGTATTTTACAGAATAGATATGCCCTTAAACGTGCTAATAAAATACACACTCTTAATTAACAATGATAAAGTATATTTTTTAATCGCTTTAATTTAGTGAAGTACCAATTGCTGCTTGGTCAATATAATTTTTGGAAAGTTTATACATTATATGTTTTATTTACTAATTTAATTTATACTTATGTCCCTGTGGATAGGGATAAGAATACCTCCACGGTTCATAGTAAGAGGAGGCTAATGAGGTTGTGCCAGGTCAACAGCTAGTATAAAATTATGTCAAGAAGTATGAGGAGTTCTGAACAAAACTTAGTCAGCCAACTACTTGGCCGATCCCAAGTAGTTGGGATTAAAGCGAGGAAAAAAAGCAGAATTTAAAAAAAATTACATTTTTAATTTTGATAATAGTAGCCATATGTAATCAAATATTCTTATATTTAATTTTTGAAAATATTCTGGAATATTGCGTCCTTAAAATATATGTTAAATTATAGCTTATGTTACAAATTATAATTTAAAAACAATTTTTGTCTCGACGACTTATTTCCTAAGTAAATGGCGCCTTAATTAAAAAAACATGCTATTTTATTTTTTCAATTTTATATCGCCTATGAAAAATATATGTATCAATACTATTTTTTTTTAAGTGGTACATAGATATCCCTTTTTTTGTGTCTGTTACCTCTTTTTCTCAGCTCTCATCTAACCGATTTTTTTCAAAAATACGTCAAAAGATCACAAATCTTATTTAGTCGAAGACATTACCCTCAAAAATTGAACAAATTTCTCTCGTTCCCCGTAAATGGGGGAAACCTCCAAAAAATTACAAATTTTAAAATCGCTAATTTTCGAAATTTTTTTTACTTAAAACTGCCATAACGTCCTTAAAAATGAACAAATCAATATAATTTCTTTTTCATGCGTGATGTTTTTATCTTTCATTTGGTATATATTTTTTATAAATCTGACCCTATACCTGCCCACAGGGGAGATTTAAAATGACAACTTTTTTTTTAGTTAAAGTAAATCATTAAAATTAATTAAGTTCAGAATATTTCAATTGTAGAATATTTTTAAACACCAAAAGTTACTAGGAAATGATTACCATTATTTCTATTTAAGTTATCTATTACGATAAAAATGCAAAAAAATATTGATTTCTGATACATTTACTATAAATAGTAATTACAAAACTTTCTGACTACATATCAATCTTAACGATACAATTTTTTTAATTCTCATAAAATTTTCTATTTGATGATATCAATTTCAAACTTGCCAATTGAGCTAAAAGTTATGGCAACATATTCAATTTCTTTTTTACTATAAACATTCACAAAAATCAACTAAATAACATAAAGGATTAAAAATATAGGATTCATTCTTAAAAATGAATAAATGAATATCATTTTTTTTATAGATGCTTGATGTTTTTACCTATCATTTGGTATATTTTTTTTATAAATCTGACCTATTACTTGCCAACAGAGGAGATTTAAAATGACAATTTTTTCACAAAAAATTAACTTTTTCAACTTGACTTTTGAAAGTGTTCCGGAAAGTCTAATACTTTTATATCTTAAAATAAAGCTAATGTAATGTACTTTATTATGGAAAAAAAAAAATTTCGGACTTTATTTTGTCTTCATGGTGTAAATGGCGACCAAATGCCATTTTTGTGTAAAAAATCTTGATTTTATTTTTAAAATTTTTAACTTTATAATGCTATAATTTATTGAAAAGTGTATGGATCAACACAATTTTTTTATGAGAAATAATATTTATATCCCTTTTTCATTCGACATACTTAATCAGGTTATAAATAAGGAAATAGGAGACCATGTAGCTTTTGGAATAACACACCAATTTTTTTAAATTAAACACTATTTAAAGATTTCCATCGAAGCGTTTTTTTTTTTTAGTGATTTTAATCAATGTAAGATATCATTATACTTGTGATCCAATTATCCAAATATGCCACGTCACCACTGTGCTGCGACCCTCCTGTGCTGGATTTTGCCATTGCCTCTCTCCTACAATGAATAAAAGACTGAACAATTTTTCCATAATTTATTAGTCAATAGAAGATCAAGTGGTAGATTATTTTTAAGAAAATAAGGGTTGTCCTCAAATTTTAAATATATTTTCTTGTTTAATCATTATTATTTTCTTTGAAAGCGACCATCTCTTTACAAAATTTTATCTGTCATTCGATGTCTTGTGATATTATTAACACGATTATCAAATATAAAAACATTATACATTTTTGATTTAAGTACCATAAGTGATTAAGAAATTTTTTAATGGTGACTTCTCTAATTTTTTTTCATATTTAAAGTTTGGATAATAATTCCGAATATGCGATGGTGACATACAAAAAACAGAATATTTTGGATTAATAATTGTTTTAAAAGAACACATGCCCCATTTAATCTAACTCTAATTGAGGCTGTAGTATTCAATACAAACGACTGAACTTTGTCAATTAAGCAACATTCATGCAATATACTGAATATAGCCCAGAAAACTAATACTAAAATTTTAAAAATCATAACGATTGTTGAATTGAACTTTGTCATTATCAAAATCACATATAATAAGTTCATTAAAATTTGTAATATCTTTAATGAATAAAATATACACAGTTTGAAGAGTAAAAATTGTTTAGTTTCTCTATTAATCTTGGAGTAAATTATTACCATTAGAGAATAAATCATTCATATTTATTCTTAGTAAATAATATATAATTTTAAAAAATTGCTATATAATACTTTTCAATGATATCAAATTTAATAAATTATATACAATTAAAAAAAAAAACCAGCACAGGGGGGTCGCGGCACAGTGGTGACGTGGCATAGTTGGATCAAGTATAATGATATCTTACAGTGATTAAAATCACTATCAAAAATAAACGCTTCGATGCAAATCTTTAGATAGTGTTTAATTTAAAAAAAATTGGTGTTTTATTCCAAAAGCTACTTGATCTGCTGGTTCCTTATTAATATCTCGATTAAGATAAAGTATGTCGAATGAAAAAGGGTTTATTAAAAAATATTATTTCTCATAAAAAAATTGTGTGGATCCATAAACTTTTCAATAAGTTATAGCATTATAAAGTTAAATATAATATAAAT